GGGGGGGTGTTTCTGCCACTCTGTGCACCCTGGAGGGTGCGGGGGGAGGTTGTATACCCCCAGGTCTGCGCAGGGCAGGGAGAGGCACCTGCAGCTGCAGGCTGGGACCAGTGCCAGGCTCTTCCCAGTGAGGGCTGGGCTGGGCTGCACTGTGCTAGGGGCAAGCAGTGGCAGCAGCACTGGGAGGAGGGGTTGGCGGTGAGGGGCTATGGTGAATTTTGGGGTGGCTGCAGCCCCCCCATAGTCTCCTCCCAGCATCGCTGCTGTCCACCCCGAGTGCAGCACCATACTGGGAAACTGTTTTGCGCTTTTTTTGTTGTTGTTTCAGAGGCTCATTACTAAAAACAAAGGCTGCCACCATCACCTGTTTAGCTGGGCACAGAATTTAGGATCACCAGGTTTACTTGGGGTTTTTCCCAAGTTATCCACATAATTAACTTCCATGTTAAACACCATTCAAAAAAGAAAAATGTAGTTTGAAGGGACTGCAGCATACGTCATCGTAACCTTTTATTTTCTCTGATTACAGTACAAAACAAAAATTCTAGCTTATGAGCAAGTGAGTTTGGATGGTAGTATTTTGTATCCACATCTTAGCTAAATTTCTTTTGTTTCAGCAGAATCTTTTTCCTCTCGCAATACTTCAGATACAGTATTTCATTGAGTGAAATTGCATTAGGGTTGTAAAACATGAATCAACATATCTAGCTTAGCAGAGAAAACTTAAATGCATGCATTAAGGAACTTTAAAACTGGTTCTCTACCCAACAGTTTTGCACACACAAATAGCCCAATTAGGCAACTCCAAGCTAACCAGAGGTATCCATAAACAGCAAATACCTACAAGCTTCTACCACATGCATAGTTGCCATAGTAACTCCACGTTGCAACTAAACAGACTAGGATAAATCAGTGAACACTGCCTTAAAGGAAGGAAAACCTGAATGTTTGTTACAGCACTAGAGAAGGCAAAGGAAAATTTCTAATACCTGTAGTTTATTCTATGAAAATTACTGGATTAAGATAATGAGAATGAGCCTCTTCTATCAAGTAATTTTCTCAGAGGATACAGAAACAGATCCATCCATTTAAAAAGAAGGTAAGTGCAAACTTATATGGCTTGTTATAGATCAGCAGAATGTAAATAACCAAAGTAAATGCATACCCATCATTGGTCAATGGAAGAGATAAAATGAGGAAGTTTAACTATGACTTACTTGAGTATGTTCCATTTTAAAACATTTTTATAATGATTTCATATCGCAGCCAGAAGTTATGTATGCTGTGCAATTAGCTATTAGTTACAAAAATATTGGAAAAAGATTAGATTTGACCAGAAATGCATTAGTGTAGGAAAAAAGTAAGGCCTTCCAGGAAAGCACAGAGCAGTGGTCTCCAACCTTTTTATGGTGAAGATCTCTTTCTGGCACCAGAGGATCTACCACGCCCCCCTCTCTCTCCCCCCCTACCTTTGTCCCACCCCACCCCCTGCCCTGCTGCTG